CCAGATCACCAAAGGGCGAGATTACATGGCAAACCCAATCTGATCCAATGACCCCGTAACAGTTAGTTAAGTCTAATCTTAAAATTAAGATTCGATTTTTGACTCAACAGTGGCTCAGTTTTGTATTTGTCGAGGTGGGAATTTCAAAAAATAGCCAAGATATTAAAGGGTTAAATTGGACACACAGCAAAAGCTGCGTTTTAAACTTTCAAAGCTTCACGAACTTCATGCAGTTGCGGGTTAAAAATAGGTTTTTATATGTTTGCATTTTAATGCCAAGCAGTTTCTTAGTGTCTGTGATTATAAACACTAATGTTGTCACACTGTCATTTTAAAATAACACTTTATTGTCGAAATCAGTCTTTCCAAACCAACACTGCTTTCACTATTTACGGCAGGTGTTTTGGTGCATCTTCATAGTACCACCAGGTAAGTGTTCAAAGTCTCTCAATATAAAGGTGATGCCCCTGAAAATAAAAGCCTTTTAATGTTATTGTGATCTGAATCTGAACACAATTCATATTCTCTTTGAAAGTGCTGAACAATGATAAATGTTTCAATAACATTTGTCTCAGACAGTTTAGTTAGCAGAACTCTCGAACCATTTTCTGACCACATAAATACCTTTCCCAGTTTCTATCTGCCCTGCCATGGCTCCCATGTGCTATTGGTTACCATTCAGCCCACAGCAGGATTGTGCCCGCAAATAAAATGTTTGTAGATGCCGGATGACAGACTACGAGGAAACCACTGCTGTAATACTGATGATTTGATGTGGCTACACTGTGGTTAGGCCTGTAATATAAAAGGTCACATCACCACAGAGTGATGCCCCAGTACTTTACCACCAAGTGATTCCCGCTCAGTGGTACTTAAAAGAAGTGGCCAAGCAAAAGAAGAAAAATGTGCAATAAGATTTAGTAGATTGTTTTCCATCCATGTTACAGTATATAATATGTTATATGACCAACAGTGCAATATAATGGTCTAATGCAATGGTTCTTTACTAGCTGTGATGCTTTTCATCATTGTCAAAACTCAAATTCCACATTCCCATTCAAAGCTGCCACTCAGAGTCAGAGAAAATTCAAACAGTATGAAACAATGTCAGACTGCATAATGGGGACATAGCAAAGCTGTTCAGATTGAATGTTAGACTATTAGCTGACCAACTCCAGCATTCAGTGGTTAGTGGTTAGAAGCTGGCAGACTCTATGTTTTAGTAGTATGCATCCTCTAGTGTTTGTGTTCCTCGATCTCAGTCAAACCTCAGTCTGGTTTCTCATGTGGAACAATTACATCTGCTAGTCTTTTGCAGTTATGACTTAAGGCTTGTGTGTTACAGCACAAATGTAGTTCTGTTATATCAGATTACTTTCTTAAAGAATCCAAAACGCCTGAGGTCCGTTTTCAACTTCGGGGTGTCTGTGCTTTACATAACCCAGGGACCGGTGGTTATGTGCCTCTGAATGTAGTCGTGTTGTGTCAAATCACTGCAAACATGAGTCCAAATCTGCCTGAGGTCCCATTTCCACACTGTGGCGTCTCTGCATGCCCAGAGGCTCACTGAGCACTGGTTATCATTTTATGTGTTGCCACGCTTTTATACTTTCAAGATATTTTCAGAGCTTCCAATAGAAATTCATTCTTCCATGTCAGAGGAAATTTTTATAAAAGTGGACAACTAAATAAATATAAGATCCACTGCATTCTTTCATTTATACTAGCTTAAAGGTATAGTACTCATATACATATCCTAATATAGTTCATCTGAGGCAAAACTCCTGAACTTACTGAAGTCTGTTCTATGAAGCACCTATGGTCCCAGTCACACAGCCGTAGAGACCAGTCGTGACCATCTGGCAACTAGCAGTTGCTAGGGTAGAATCTCTTTTCCCAGAACGATTGGCAGGTGGTTACTGGCAATTGCTATGAATTAATGGCTAAAGCCCAATTCACTCAGGCTTAGAGACCAGACTCTAAGTGACTCCACGGGAAGTGCAACTTGCAACTGATTTCACCTAGCAACAACCAGCAACGACTTGCCAACCAGTTGGGGAATATAGTTTTCCCTAACAGCGAGACTTTCCCAGCTTGTCGCCAAACCCTCTCTAGGCCGGTGCGACAGAGGCCTATGGTAGAATATAAGTCATGGAACAATCGGTCCAATATTGGTCCACTGCTTTACATACAGCTGGTTATACCAGTTTCGTGGCTTTGTTGATGTTTTCCTTTCTGAGGAACTCATCAAGCTCAGTGTATGCAGATTCCCTAACACTCTCTCCTAACTCCAAGACGAGTTGGGTTAAAGTTTCACTTAAGTTCTCGTCACTATCAGTGCCTTTACTAATAAAGCTACACATGGAAACATAGAAACATATATACATATTAGCCTCTACAAGATACAGCTACACTATTGTGGTTGCAAATTGTTCAGAATTGGTGCATAAGCTGCTGTGATTTGCTCTGTCTCTAACCCCCTCCGCGTCTCTTACTCAAGTCCGTACTCTAGTACTGTGAATGTCTGTCCACCTTCACTTTAGGTGTTATTACATATAAAAGCTGTATTTTAGAGGAATTCAGACAAACAGATAGAAAATTCTGGGGGAACACCACTTTCTTGGATACTATTAGTTAAAATTATGTTCCCATGCAAGGTTTTTGCCATGGCCATTATGACCATTATGTGTGTTTACGGTGTCATAGTATATGGCCCCATAGTCATCACTGGTCCCTTTCTGAATACCACCCCCACATAATGGTGGAAATCCCTTTAAAAGCACTCTTCTTTCTTTCTCTCTGTTGCTTCTCTGTCTGTGGCCCTGCCAGTGCTTATATCCCAGGGCTGGGTGGCTAGCTGATATTGTGTTTTGTGGTATCATAGCTCCATTCTTCCAAAACCATCTGAAGGCCCATTTCCACACCCCGGCATCTGTTGTCCATATCATACCCTGGAGCTTGATGGCTACTCACTCTGGTCAGTGTTTACCAGCTCTCGTGTTTGTGGTGCCGAGGCTCCGCTGGCGCCTGAGGTTCCAGCATGAGTAAGCTTCCAAATAGTAAGCAGCAAGAATATTCTCTTTCTTACTCCCTCAGTTTACTTTTTTTTTTCTTTCTCGCAGCATGTAGAGGATCCATTTACAAACCCAAACATGCAATCATCCCGTTTCTGGTCATCATAAAGATGCATTCTGTCAATGCAATGTTTATTTCTCTAAAACACGGGATCTCAGTTGCAACAAATGTATGTTTTTTGGTGATGGTGAATATGTGTCTTTATATTATAGAATAACACTGCCAATGGTATTGTGATTTTTCCTTTTGGTTCCAAAGTGTGGCTTGCCTGCTTATCTTTCATCTGTTAGCTTTAATTTAAAAGAGTAAATAGGTAATTAAATTAGCTTAAAAAAAAGATGAAAGGCTTTTAAAAGGTTGGGGGAAAGCCAGAATGTGATAAGTTAAAAATCATATGCAAAACTTTAAATGTTTCTAGTTAAAAAAAGAGTATGTCAGATTTTAAAACTAAGGGATCGACACAAGCAACATATGTTAAAAAGCTGCATCATCTCATTTAACAGCTATATGTACGTTTTTGGGAACTGTGGACACCAACCGTGGTAGTTTTAGACATGGAATGTACTTTTATATTCTTTCTTTGTGTAGGACATCAGCTCAGCTGCTCAACAGTTCAGTGCGCCCCATGTTTTATTTTTTTAATTTCATAATATGGAATGGATTTTATGCGGTGACAGGTCACAGGCACACAGGTTTGGCAGCGTCTTCATGAAATAACCCAGGCGTTTCCTGAATGAGATGTCTGGATGACAACATGTATTTTTTCAAATCGTGTAAATGTTGTGGAGCCCTCATGTTTACACTAATGCATTGCTATACCACTGAAATTTCACTTTTGAGTGGAAGATGACCACAGGCCAGTTTGATGACCACATTACCTCAGTCCATATTAAACAAGAAGCGTCCCAGGACTGCAGACCACTGCTCAGGCAACTGACTCTCTGGGTGTTGTTTAATGCAAGCCCTGAACAATTTAGTAACATTAAGTATACAGAATGTGAAAGAATTCCCTGCATCAATAATTAGAATGCTACCTTTGAGCAAGGCATTTAAACTCCAGCTGTTCTGCCTTTGATTTTCATTTGCTGATTTTTTTCTTTCTTTCTGAAGAACGGTACGAGAAAGGATTTAGATCTCAGTTGATTTGCTCCATGTAAACATTTAGAATTAAATCTTAAATGTCTGGGAAGACAAATTGTTCATCCCCCACGCTGCTAAAATCTCCATTTGTCAAGGTCTGCTGTCGGTTACTGTATGTAGTATAATAATGCCGTGCAGCCATGACGTACCCTGAGTTTGCTTTTCCACACCGCTCTATGTGCTCAGCCAAGCACTGCAGGAGAACCGGGCAATGGACAGATTACACATAATTACCTCGTGATGCTTGTTAGGGATTAGGTTTGCGTGTGCGTGTCTGCTACTGATGTGTGTGAGTGTGTGTGTCGGTGACAACTGCCGTCCATCAGTCACCATATTTGTTTTGTCACACCACACCTGTCCCCGTTACGCGCCATAATCTGGCTAGATAAATCACATTACGGTTCGTCTATGCGACTGAGCGTTACACTGCCGCAGCCCCGTGGACGCAGCCAAGCAGCCATAATAAGTTTCAATTAAGCAGAGATGATGCTGGTTTGCTTCTGTATACCGGTGTTTATGGGTTTTATGCCCTCTCTTTAACAAATTTTCTGTGCTTTTCAAAGCCAAGAGGGTGATTCTTCTTCATCAAAACTAAATCCACAGATGTGGATGACTCAGTTTAAAGTGTGCACATATTTGTGGGGGAGTTTTTCATATCCACTTATGCCCTGATGTTGTCTTAGAGGACCATTTTAGGGACAAATGTAAATGTAGAATAGAGAGAAACAAAAAAAGAATCACTTCATCCTTTCTGATATCTGTCCCCCATTGTCTTGTCTGTGCAGTTATTCCCTGAGACGGGGCCTCGACAAGGCGGAACCAGGGTGACCATCTGGGGGGAAAACCTGGGTCTGCAATTCAGAGACATCCAGACGGGCGTCAAATTGGGGAAGGTGCCCTGTGTTCCCGTTGAAGACGAGTACGTGAGTGCCGAAAGGTAAGTTGAGAGGCAGAATGCACACACACGGTAACTATGCATGCGCAATCAGACAAAAATAGGTGTAAAAAGGCATACATGTACAATATATTGCCAAAAGGATTCATGACCATAGTGTAAAATCAAGCACCAGGCATGCAGACTGCTTCTACAAACATGTGTGAAAGAATGGGTCGCTCTCAGGAGCTCAGTGAGCTCCAGCGTAGTACCATGAGGGGACGGCACCTGTGCAACAAGTCCAATCGTCAAATTTCTTCATTACTAACATATTCCAGCTGTTAGTGGTGGTGGATGTGACTGAGAATGACAGCAACTTAGCCACGTGCTAGGTCAGGTAAAATCACAGAACAGAGGCAGCAGATGCTGAGGAATGGAAGTCGCAAACTTTCTGCAGAGTCAATCACTATAGACCTCCAAACTTCATGTGGCCTTCAGATCAGCTCAGGAACAGCACACACAGAGCTTCATGGAGTGGGTTTCCGGGGCTGTGCAGCAAGCAAAGCATCAGATGCAGTGGTGTAAAGCACGGCACCACTGAACTCTAGAGCACTGGCGACATGATGAATCACGCTTCTCTGTCTGGCAATCTGATGGATGATTCTGGGTTTAGTGGATGCCAGGAGAACAGTACTTGTCTGACTGCATTGTAGCAAGTGTAGAGCTTGATGGAAGGGGGGTTAGATTATGATGTGGGTTTGTTTTTCAGGAGTTAGGCTCTTCTCCTTAGTTCCAGTGAAAGGAACGCTTCATGCTTCAGCATACCAAGACATTTTGGACAATTTGATGCTCCCAACTTTGTGAGAACAGTTTGGGGATGGCCCTTTCTTGTTCCGACGTGACTGCTGCCAGCGCAAAAAGCAAAGGCCATAAAAACATGGATGAGCGAGTTTAGTGTGGAAGAACGTGACTGGCCTGCACAGACTCCTGACCTCAACTCAATGTAACATTTTTGGGATAAATTAGAGCGGAGACTGCAAGCCTTCCCAGACAACACAAAGCTGCTATAGCTGCAAATAGTGGGACAACATCATATTAAACCCTGTGGATTAAGAATGGAATGTAGCTCAAGTTCATATGTGTGCGAAAGCAGACCAGTGAATACTTTTGGCAATATAGTGCATCTAAGCTCACAAAGCCTACAAAGACAGATCAATACATTTGCAGCATGCGGACGACCTAAATGCCTCTCTCACAGAATCAAACATAATTCCAAGGACACGCACAAAGAGGAAGCTGCGGCTTGTGCCTCTCTGATCCTGCCCAATCAAAGGACAGGAAAAAATGTCAACCAGAACACGTTTGTGTATAGGTGCATCCGCGTTCAGCAGCTGAAAAGATAGTGACATCAGGCTTTCTTTTTTTGTGCGTTTGTAAATTCCATCTGTCGTTCCTCTCCATTACTCTCTACATATGCTTTTTCCTTTATTTTTCTCATCCCTCTATACTGACATTTACTCCTCTGCAGGGTCCTACACGGCTGAGGAATTGAGTTCACGCAGATCAAACAGTCTCTCTGAAGTGCAGTTAGTTGGGAAATGATGCATGTTGAGATAGAGGGCATCTCTATTCAAATATTACACACACATCAGTTATTCTACATATTATTCCTGACATCTCTGCACCACTCCCTAGTCAGATACATTTTTCCCTTTTTTTTTTTACTGTCTTTCACCACTCCTGAACTGTAGATTGAGATCTATTGTCTGAAGCATTTTGGTGTCTGCATAAAGCCTACTGTGACCACGTGACTGACCATTCACTTGTTTTTGCACTGCACTGCACTACATACTGTAAATATGTGACAAAATGAGGAATAAAGAAGCATCTGCTTCAACTTCTCTCTCTGTGAACAGAATAGTGTGTCTGCTGAACGACGCAACCGGCTACAGGGTCCAAGAGGCTCAGGTGGAGGTGTGTGTGAGAGACTGCGTCAACGACTACAGAGCCCTGTCGCCGCGGCCGTTCACCTTTGTGGTAAGGATCCCGGCGAGGAGACTTCAATAACTCTTGTGTTATCTTAGCCGCTCCACGAGGGCCGTAACAAGTTAAGAGACGCTCCCACTGCTGAAACACAATTACATAGTGGACTAAATCATAACTAAGTTGATAAAAACTAGAATATTTATATAGATTTTTTTTCCCTCTCTTCTTTGCAGACTCCCTTTTTCACACGTATCCAGCCGTCCCAGGGGCCCATTTCAGGGGGAACTCGTGTCACCATCGAGGGGAGCTACCTCAATGCGGGCAGCTACGTGTCTGTCAGCATAGGACCGCTGCCATGCCAGTTCAAAAAGTAAGACTCCTTTTTTTATTGTTGCTATAAATTTAAAATGTATTAAACTAACCCCCTAAGGAAAACTGAGTGATGCTTAACGTGGTAAAAATAAATTTACACTCAGAGCTGAAAATGCTGAGGATGATGGGAAAAACAAACAGATCAAGCTTAAAGGAAATATGTGCATAAATAAGGATTCTCTGTCTGAAGATTGGTTTTGTGGTGTATTGCAAAAGAAAAAAATAGCATTATCATAAAGATATTACATGCACGTGCAAACATGTAACCAGTATGTCAGACTGGGTTTATTTCTGTGTGTGTGTGTTGTATTAAGCGTGTGTGCATGCTTGTTGCTCGCAGACACTCAGCACCTCTTTGTCTGCTCTCACGCAGGCTTTCCTTAATCTACTGCATGGAGAGAAAAAAAAACATCCAAACTATCACCACAGTTGCTTGCATGTCAAATGTATGGATTAGCCTCAAATAGCTCATCTCTATTGAAGCGAGCGTACGCTAGCTTTGATGTCACACCAGGCGTTTCCGTCCTCACGGTAATCCCGCAGACTCCACTTCACCGCGACTGTTTGCTCACCTCAACTCTGTCTTTATCTGTCACACCCTAACTGTGGGACCGTGTTTGTGGCATCTTGTGAAGATTGCTGGGGCATGGGTTCTTTCTGAATGGGGTTGCTATGGTTACAGGCTGGGGGACTCAGGAGACTGGATATCGTAGATTCTCTATCCTTTTTTTTTCTTTCCTCACACTCTCTCCCTCCCTGTGTGGCTGCTGAGATATAAAGAGGCACAATAGATTCTGCAACACCAAACTGAAGTGCGCTCACATACTTTCTTATACACATGTACTGTACTGTACAAAAGCAGCCACCGCTTAACTGTGCTAAATACATATTAGATAATGTATCTACTGAGGACTGCACGAGGCTGCAATCCAAAATGTTATTTTGGCTTTAAAATAATATTTTGGATTGTAGTGTTTGTCATTGGTACTATTGATTGTTGAGATAATTTTTTTTAATGTAAAAAAAGTAGGTGCTTTAGTTAGTCTTAAACATAATAATAATCATAATCTACTAATAATCTAGTAATAATAATCTAAATCTGGGTGTATCATCTGGATGAGGGAGGTGGTTGATCAGATTGCACCCAAGTACAAGTGCAGTCCACACAGAAGGAAGAAAAAAATCCCCCCTGAATGGAGGCATTATCTGTGCTATCGTTTCCCTTGTCGCTTGAAGTCAACTGCACTTCCGCGAGCCACAAGATCTGATTGTATTTCCAACAGGACTAAAATAAAGCAGTGTAAATACCAAGGGTAAGGACTCACAGAGTTGTTGCAGTTACCTAAATGCTGTCTTCAGACAGGCTGTATATAAAAGATGGACATGCATAACATCACCGAATTTTGTAGTCATGTAGACCGTTTGAAACGTCAGTTGTAGTTTTTTGGGGGGGTTTAAATGACAAATGAGAATATTTAACGGCTCGGTCATATTAAAGTAAAAATAGGACAGCATCCTTCTTCTGACTATGAATATCAAATCTCACTTTCAGCTATTTATTTTGTCATGCCAACAACCATACCAACATTTTGGCCTTCTTGTTATGCTTTCATGAAGGTACATGTTTGCTGGCATGACAAAGTAAATTGGGGAAACTAAGAAGTTTTGTGCTACTGCTGCTTATTGACTTGGATAATTGACCCTGGAGTTTTGGTGTGGCACTACCGATAAATGTACCGGGAAGGCAGGTCCTTTTAAGACACTGGACTAAGAAAAATCCTTTGTTGCCTGGTAATTGCATTGATTTCTTTTTTTTAATTCAGATTTTTTTTCATTTGGCGATTGACTGCAAGTAGCTGCGGCAACCAGCTGATCAGCTGAGTGTGCAACACTTTTAACAGCACCTGACTGCGAGTGGTCATAGATCTGGTCCCAGTCTTTGGAGCAGCTGTTCTAAGTTAACAAGAACACAAGTTCATTGCACAAATTTGGAATAATTTTGTTTACAGCCACTGTTTATCCTTTAGTGTAAATGTATCATAAATAAGAGGGTGGAGTGCTAAGTTAGCTAATGTTAGCAAGCTACATACAGAACATATGAATAAAACACTACAATCAGACACACTACAAAGTTTTCGACTGGGCTGTTAAAATAATAGACCACATCCTATGCCATGTTATTAGTTAAATAACTGCTCCAACAATACAAACACCTCAGATTAAGTGAGGTGAGGCCTAGCAGACAGTTAGCAGCTATAGCCTGACTCTTTCAGCAACCACTTATAACTCAGCCTGCCCACTCAGTCTGTTATTTGTATTAAAGTATAACTTTAATACCACCCCCACCAACCATGCAGTCTTTAGCAAATCAGCTAAAGAGACAAAGATTTTTATTCTATCCAGACTGTAGTTATTTAATTTCTGCTGTTAAGTTAGGCATTTTTGTAATGTGACTCTATGTGGATTGACCTGCTTTTTGAGCTTTTCTCAAGTGGCCATTCTCAAAGGAGCTGTCGTTTTTGACACTTAAGTGTTAGCTTTTTTTTTTTTAGCCCTGTAGGTTGCCACTTGATAGACTGACATAACGGTCTTTAATCCCAGTTGTGTAAGTGGCGACAGATAGTTCCAACTATACATTTGCTCTGTCTTGGCCTCACACATAAAAGCTTAAGTTGTGAACTCTGATTCGTATGTTCCAGGAGGCCGTCAAGCTGATCAAACAGCAGGACTTGGCTTATTTTGTGAGCTGAAGTGCTCTAGTTATAAGCAGAATGATCTAATCAGGCAGTTTACAAGATGAGTTAAAGAGCATGAGATTAATTGGCTTCACAGGACAGACATTGGTAATTACAAGAAAAAGTCATTTAATATGTCATCTCTTCTGCTCGAACCTCTGTATGAAATAAATGTCCTGGCACAAGAAAGAAATCATTGCCTCTTCATTATTACAATTCTTTATTCTATAATTCTGAGTGATTAGGCACTTCTAGCTGCTTGCTAGGGTGCTGCTAAGATTTTTCCTCTGTTAGATGTGAATACTTTCCTTCTCAAACCTAATTTTACTTCTCTTTTATTCCCTCTATATGTGTTCTTGTCCAATAATTCTTTATTAATTAGAAAATTCCTGCAATCGGAAACTTTATTCTGTCAGAAGAAGGGTTGCCACCTTTTCTGGTGAAATAGGTTTTATCTTTTCAGAGCCTGGCAAATGGAAATGTGAAAATACAGCCCTTGATTTGAGCATGTTGACATTAGTTATATAATTTGCTCTCTACTTTGCTGAGACTTGTCCTTGGGCTGGAATCGATTTCCGTCAGCTTTTCCTCCTTCTGTCTGTCCAGGAGGAATGCCCGTGAGATAGTATGCGTTACACCAGCTGGACTGGCCTCGGGCAGTGCCCCAGTCTTGGTGGACATCGATGACGCAGAGCTCAGAAACCCAGAAGTCAAGTTTAACTACACAGAAGACCCCACTGTTCTGAAGATTGAACCTGACTGGAGCATTGCCAGGTAAGCTAATGTGTTGTGTTTGTAAGTTTACAATTTGAGTAAGCAGCATTTTTTTTTTCAAGGGATAGAAACAAAGATGTTGCTCCTAGAATATATCCAAGTGGTTCTGAAGAGGTCCTGTGGGGACATTAATAATAAAACTGAACCTAAATATTTTTTCATGCTGGACTTTTGTCTAGTTCAGATCCCGAATAAATGTTGGCTGGATAATCTCAGCAGCTAGCAGCTGAAAGAAATTACAGTCTAGCTTTTTGCACTACTCCTGTGCTCCAGAAGCATCGCGCTGGCAAATTCGAGGAAGTGTTCTCGAAGCAGTCGGAGCAGAGTTAAATGCAGGATGAGAGCTCTGACAGCTAGTTTAGATGGAGGTAAATTGACGGTGCCTCCGGAGGTTTTTCATCTGGCTCGAGCGAGGCGTTTTCAGCAGAGGAAATGAGCAGCAGCAGAGGCGGCGGCAGCACGGTTTATCTAAAAACAGAAGAGTTTAAGCTCATCGTGTAAAGCGGGTCATTAATGGCTTGATTTTGATTGGTTGATTGAAGTGGCATCTAATACTGATCTGCTAACGATGAGTGAGAAGTAATGCAAACGATGCGCAGATTTCCACAGCCTTTCACACAGCGGCTAAATAAATAAACACTCTGCTCCACTACTCGGCACTGAACATGACAGCAGCATCGCTGGGGAAGGCGCACACAAGCAAACCATTTCACATTAAAGTAGATTTACTGTCAAACGGGGCAGACACATGCACTTATTGGGCTTTATGATGGATACTTAGGCTAGTAGAAACAACTCACTCTCACCCTTGTGGTTTTTCTGGAGCTCCATTACAGCTAAGTAGGGCTGCCACAAATGATTATTTTGATAGTCGACCAATTATTTTTGCGATTAGTCGACTAATCAGATCATCATCCATTGGACGTACAACGTACAGCTTATTGCACCAGCAGGCATCTGCTCTTATATAACTATCATTAGCTTACAGCTTTAAGATTTTAAGGTATGTGCTAACTAAAAATAAAGACAAGATGATAGTTTATTAAATTTTAATGAAATTTGTAGATTGTTTCGGTGAAGTTTAATAAACTCCTTGCTATCTAAAATATAACAGGACACCGGAGTATATTCTCGAGCATCTCACACTTCTGATAGTGTCTTTTGTTTGGATCTTACAAAGCTTCAAACGACGCGTCGACTATTAAATCAGTCGTCGACGATTTTGATAGTCGACGTAATCGTGACTAGTCGACTAATCGTGGCAGCCCTACAGCTAAGATTTATTTCTCTGTGGGAGGTTGTTTGAGTTTGGTGTTACCTGGACTAATCGCAGGTTTTTAATCCTATGTGGGAAGCATATTGTGCCGATTTTTATCGCCAGCCGAAATACACACTGATGAATGGCTCCTACTGGGTTTTTGTGCGGTTTAACTCTGAGAGCTGTGTGGTTAAAACCAGTCAGTTAAAAATAACCTGTTGTTTGGCTGTGGTTAAACTTTATAAGGTAGTACTTTATTTCCTTTCACATATCCTGTCAAAGCCCTGTTCCTTTATGTCCAGAGCAACATTTTCTCATTCTCTTTGATTGAAATTCATTTCGATATTTAAATAGGCAGCAGTGATGCCTTTTTTCTTTTTTTACCCCTTGTTTTTTTTTTACCTGTTCTTGCCTCTTGCTCCTTCTGTGCTCCTCCCTTCCTTCCCTGTTGTTACTCATCAGCAGATTGTAGGAGATAGATGCAGAGCTTGTTAGAGAAAAGTGTTGATGAATCCTGCCCAGTTCCCTTTTGCCCAGTAGGGCCAGCCAAGGAAGCAGCTGAGGCCCAATCACTGCCCTTCCCACCCACTGCGAGGGTTCCTCTGTGAACGTGTGTGTAAAAGCTCAAAACGGGGGTTCTACTTCAGCAAGCTCACTCAGGAGTGATGATCCCACGCAAACAAGAGGCGTGCGCGCACACATACACACAGACGCCCCGCTGATTCCCAGAGTCCCTGATGTTTGGCCCCAGATCCCTCCTCCATCTGGTTCAGAAAACCAGAAAACAACTCATGCTCCTCGGAAACAGCAAGCAAACTGCGATAGACAAAAGTGCGTGTGGCGCTTCCAACCAGTAGGAGCTTTAATTTGAATGATGAATTTCAGCCAGCGATCAGCATCACGTGTCGCTTTAGGTAGAAAGTAAAAAGAACCAGTAAGATGTGATAGTATATCCGTTCGTATCTGCCTTATTGTCTGCCTTTGTGCAGCTACATGCATGCCTGGGGAGCATTATCATTGTGCTTGGGAGATGATAGCGAGAGTGGATAAAAGAGAGTGAAAAGAGAAAGAGAGCAGGGGTGCAGAGAGAGAGAGTGCATTACCATTGTGCTTGGCTGATGATATTCCATTTAGGACAAAGACAGAGCACTTCAAAAATAAATCAATGAGGAGTACTCATCTGGGATACTGGGGGAGATTTATTTGGGTAGTGGTAGAGGTTAGAGAAGCAATTTTGGAACAAAATATTCAGATTTCTTTCTCAAACAGAGAGTAAATACAGCAGATGGCTCGGAGGCTTGCCACTCCTTCATTGAGTACTGCCAGTGTGCCTTTGAGCAAAACTGATTAGTACTTCTACTCCAATATAGCTGCTTCATGGTAACTGTGAAAAGTGGTAGCTGCCAAGGCTAAACGTGTGTGTGCTTAGTCAACAACTTAATTACGAGCAAAAAGGTCAGACCAGGAAGTAGCACGGCAAAGTTTGTCCATGCCAAGCCACCAGCACAGCAGCCGGGCTGCGAGGTGAGCAATTGTTAAATGTCACTTGTGTGTATAAAGTCAAGAAGAGCACTTGTTGGGAATTCTCAAAAGTGCAAGCGCTCAACTGTCTTGTTGGAAGGACTCAAAAATCAGAATCCTGAAAGCTACCTGAGGCTATTTTGCTATTTTCTACAAACTCTTGTAGGACTGATTGTGCACACTAACATACTAGTTAGGAGCAGTAGATCTTTAATTGCTTTTACTTTTTCTTCTTGGGTTTGTATGGTGTTTTAATCAGTCAGTAACATTTGCTACCAGTTGCAGTTTTTTCCAGCCACACAGAGACTGTTGGGCGACTTCCTGCAAACGACTGGTTGCTAGAGAAATGTGTATTTCTTAGCTGGTTGGCCAGTGTTTGCTGCAGGTTGCTAGCAATCACTAGGAGAAACTGGCAAAGAGCAGCAAAGAGGTATACAGTGCTGCACTGAAAATCTTGTGATTAGTCTGGTAACTAACAGATTTCCACAGTTTTCAGGGAAGAAGCAGGTTGATTTAGTGAGTCTAAATCACCACTAAGCTGTAGTTTACTGAGAGGTGCATGCACGGTGCACAGAGGCGTATGTATACCATCGACTGCAGTCTGCTGTAAACCAACGCAACTTTTTCCAGGTACATTTACCCAACATACGAGGGTTAGCAAAAATGGATTGTTCAACACAATAAAATTCAGCAGATTTCTCTATTTGACTCTCTGTTAACTTACCGTTACAGAGTAGCTTGACTGAGCCTTACACGTGTGCTTCAGTGTTCAGTTTCAACTTGCAAACAAGTTTTTAATCATTTACTGCTCCACAAACAAAATCTTGAAAAACTGTTCCGATCCTCCTCTTACTGCCCGACAGTGACAGAAAATGCTAGAGAAAATGAGAAGTAGTCAAAAAGGAAAGGAGTCCAGAGAAAACAAGAGAAGGATGAAGAAAGAGAGAGAAAGACTAACCGCAGTTGCTGGATTTCCCAAGCTACCTGTGGGAGTTTATTCTGATTGTCTTGTTGTCTGTTCCCTGAAGCATGTACCTGAGCTAAAGAGACTCACTTAGACAAAGATAGGAGCAACAGGGACAGAAGGATTCAGAGCAAATACACATCAAGCTGAAGAGGACGGCAGCAGAGGAGAGGGGAGGACAGCCGGTGTTATAAGAAGTGCAGTCTGTCTGCTCCTGTGCTGCATTGGTAGCACAAACTTTAACAGCTAATTAAAAAAATCTGCCTCTTTGAATATCCTCTGGGCTCCTTTCTTAGGTGTCTTCATCTGCCTTGTAAAGACCACAGTAATAATATGCCAGGTCACTTGTTCCTTCTGTTAGCTAAGCGTGGTCCATGTTATATATAATGTATACTGAAGGTACTGGGGCACTGCTTATGCAACAGTGTTTCAGAGCCTCAGATTATTATGATGCTTTGGACTATTTTGCATTCATGAGGTCTTAAGCTAAATATAAATAAATATATAATATAGAAAATATATTAATATATGACACAACAACATTAATCATTTAAATGTAAAGCAGTTGTCCAAACCAATATGCTGAGAGATCAGTCCGTGGCCGTGACACAGAAACTAATTTCTACTCAAAGTGGAATGAAGGAGATTAAAAAAATCATTAAAATAGGTTAGATGGAAGTTTCCTACTTAAATTTCTTAACATTAATTAGAGTCTGCTCAACAGAACAAACTTGATTTGTACAAAATTAATTTTACTACACTGGCAGAGTTTCAGAGTTTCATGGCACCCATCCATAGTGAATTGAAGTGTCTCGCTTCCAGTTACTTAAGCCGAATTTGGCTCTTGAAGAGTACAGCGCTGTAGAAGAAATGACACGAATACTGTATTACAAAAAAAAGAGTTAATGTGTATACTTTGTAAAAGTGTGAGCAATCAGAAAAATATTGGTACCTTTGTCAGCTGTCAAAATACAAGTCAAAGGCTTTATGCTTCCTATAACACCTATAATCGTGTATTAAACATGATAGTGTTATCCAAAGAATGGATGAGATCAGGTATCCTAAGCGAGTAATGGGCAACCTGCCAAAAAAGAAAAAAAGACTCTGAGAAGCTGAGAAGAATAGCCAGGCTCGAAGCCTTTTATATACCTACAATGCAAGAGATGGTACGTCTACCTTTATCATTTACTCCCTGTCTCACCCTATCATTACCGTTTGCCACTATTGTAAGTCTCGCTGGATTAGAGTGAGAGATGAATGTCTCTTGTTAGCCAGCCAGACTCTCTTCCTAAGATATTAACAGGTTCTGTCTCTGCTTCTTTTCACCGTGTTGTTCATTCTGCTGTTGGTGCTTGTACGCCAAGTCATTCTGGATAAGTGTCAGATTAATGCTGACTATGAAAAAGACACCTTGGTATTGCAGAAATCAATGTTAATATGTGGTAACCCACCAGATGAAATGTGCTCTGGCGCACGGTGGAGCGTCACAAAGGAGTACTCGAGGCGAGGGACTAAGGTTTGTCCAATGCCTCAGTGAATTCTGTAATACTATGACAGAATTTGTGTCTGCCTATATGGTATTTATTATATCCTGTGGATGTGCTGCCATGATCAATTGTCTAATCCTGCAGGAAGCCCTTAACTTCCCCTCACTGAACTGCTGTTCATACTAACATAGGAAGAGCCTGCCTTCAGAGCTTCACCTCTCATTCAAGAGACTTCTTCAGTTCTAAAACAACTGGTGGAGACTTCAGGGTAATAAAAACCTATTACCTTGTAGTAGGCATAGAAGAAAGTTCTAGGAGTCACGTTCCATCTAGTGGGAAATGTCTTAAAGCAAACAAAAAACTAAAGAAGTCCTGTTACATTCTCTTCAGGCTCTCAAAACTACCATGATTTAGATGGCTAAGAATCTAGATAGACAAGATCCTGCCTTAATGGGTACACAGGACATGGCACATGTTGCATGTTGTCTGGTTCAGAGACGGGAAAGAGTGTCAGCTTAGAATGCACATAGAGTTTAAAGTCGCCGTCAAAAGCTAAAATTAGTGAATATATTCCTTCTCTTCTTGACAAATAATAAAAAGTCAAAAGAATATTTATTGTGAGAAATTCATCAGCTTGAGTACTCACAAAATCTTTGAATTTGTGAAAACCAACCGTTACCTTGGATCATGGAAGATTTGCAGTAAGATAGCAAGGGTAACGGGAGAAGGAACAGGGAAAGCCTTACAGTTTTATTGGCCATCTGCTGTTAAAACCCCAGGGCTTATAAGTCTGCAAAGATGACTGATCAAGACACACCAAAATATCTTTGTTTCAAGTTGTTCTTTGGGTTAAATCTTTCCAAGATCGAAGAACAGGGGGAAAAGAGTGTAGGGGCAATGAAGCAAATCCCTTCCTCAGCAGTTTCCCCCGACAGAGTTGATACCACCAAATATTCCCAAGCAACAGAGAGTAAATCTGAAAAACACTTGTCTTTTAGGTGTAGATAGCAGAGGCAGCAGTCAGGCTTGGGAATCTCTGAGTGAGAGAATTAGGTGTATTAGATTCTGCATCAAGCCAGCCACACAAAAAGACCCTGAGAAGTTTTTACTTTTATCACTGGCTAGTTGAACTAGAGAATTCACCATGGTATAGAAATATCCTGTGGATATCTGTGTTTTTGGATTTGCAAAAATACCTTAGCATCCAAGTGTGGTTAGGGAGGTATACGATGTTTGTGATTTCTTCAAAATACGTGGTTTTATTCCAGCCTTTTATTTCAGACAGCAGTGATAGGAACTACAATACAAACCCCTCTAGACTGTGAGAATCTTGTAGAAAGACACATGATAGTGGGTCTTAGAAACAATATCTCTCAGTGGCACAGATAGCCCAGCAGCGGTGAAAGCGCTGATCTTCTAGAGGAAGACAGCACACAGGTGCACAAACTGCAACTGCAAAACAAGGTGAGCGTTGAGAAGGTAAGAAAGGTTTGAAAAAACCTTCTAAATCCAATTTAAGCGTAGCTGTGAAAATGTAAGGCTAACTCCATTCCCTTTACAGGTGGCAAGAGCCCTCTGTGATAAAGGTTTTATATTTTCCATGAATTTCATGACTCTCTCGCATTGAGGGTCATCACGAGAAGACCACCAATCACTTTGGATAACAGCAAAAAGAGATGCAGTTGAATATTGGCCACCAGATAGACATTGCTTGACACCAACAAGCATCGTCAGACATGGCGAAAAATAAAGAATTTTTAAAATAACTTAAATAAACAAACAAAGATGGTCTGACCTGCACCGACAGTATCAAAAATTACGCCTGGCAGTTCAGCAAAATTCTGCCATGGCGATTTACTGTATTCGGTCCAGTACACCTGCTCAAGGCAAACACCGTGACTGTAGATAGATTTGTATTTATAGTACAGGGGTGGGGAACTCCAGGCCTCAAGGGCCGGTGTCCTGCAGGATTTAGATATCACCCTGGGTCAACACACCTGAATCAAATGATTAGTTTTGGCATTGCCAGGCCTCTGGAGAACTTCAAGACATGTTGAGGAGGTCATTTAGCCATTTAAATGAGCTGTGTTGGATCAAGGACACATCTAAAACCTGCAGGACACCGGCCCTCGAGGCCTTTAGTTCCCCACCCCTGCTATAGTGGATCTTACATTCTGTTTGTCCTTTTTTAATTTTGTGTTGTAAATTCCCCTATAAAGATGATTTTTAAAATCCTCCCTGGTGCCCATGGTACTCTACCCTAAGCTTGGAGCAAACTTCCTTTAATTAATAGAAAGTAGTCAAACTGTTCCAACATTTCATGAAAGCTTTCGAAGTGTTTAACAAAAAAGCTGGAAAGTGGTGCCGAACTGCACCGTTTTAAGAAGGGAGGAAAAAAATGTTCCTGCAAATGTTGGTATTAATTCTGCTCTTTAAATAATTTTTCATGTTAATCAAATCTGCCTTGAAGGAATTAGACTAACATCATAGTAATAAGCGAAAATAAATATATTTTTGGATTAAGCAGTGTGTTGCCTGGGTTACACTTTCTTTGAACATCATGAAAAACATTTGTTGAATAATTTAAACTTCCAATTAGCAAAATACAGTCTTGCTGCACCGTGTCTCTGTAAAGTGTTCACTGTAATGTGTACCGTCATTAAACTAGTAAAGTCACAAACAGTGACCAAGTAATGGTTTGGGCCCAATTCTTCAACACAGTGTGAACTCTCTTAGGCAAGCTTCCTTATCTTTTCTTTAAGTGGTTCGTCACGCTTCTCAAAGGACATTTCTTTGGATGTCAGCTGCCTTTTTTTTCCATCTTCTGTAAAGATGATCCTACACTTCTTTAATAAAAATAAAGTCCAGGGTTCAACATTAGGTGGAGGTCAATTCATGAGTGATAGTGTTTTTCTGTTTAGGTGCATATGTTTGGGATCATTGTGGTGCTGAAACCAAAGCTGTTGCCAGTCAGACACTTTTCCAATTTTATTGTTTGGTGGATCAAAATCTGATGTTTTCTGCTTTTATAACTTAATTAATTTTGACAAGATGTCCAACACCATTGGCTGAAAGGCAGCCCCAAACCTGACAGAGCATCCACTGTGTTTTAAACACAGCTGTGGACCCTTGCTGTTGTTCCTGAGCTACAACAGCAAACAGTAGATAGAGCATCAGCTAAAGATATAATTTAAAAATTAAATTGCTCATTTTTATGTTTAGACACAAAGTTAGTTAATCCCTTGAGTTAGGTGCCTTTTTTATTCTTGAATTATTCATACAACAGAGTTAAATGGGTAAACTGATCAGGTATACTATCAAGACCACTTTAAAAAATGACAAGATTTTTCTTTATATAGCAAAATATAAACAAATGAGCAGCTATTCAAAACAACATATTTGTAGTAGAAAACAGTTAAGGTTATGGATTGTGGTTGTGCTTTAAGAGAGCAGAAGTCACTTTAAGTTTCTCACTATTCAACCAGGAGAGTCTGTAGCTCAAGAGGTAGAGCAGGTCATCTGCTGAGAAGAAGGTTGGCGGTTTGATTTCTAGCTGCTCCAGTCTACATGCCAAATATCCTTAGGCAAGATACTAACCCTGGTTGCTCTGTGAATGTGATAGTAAGCACTTGCATTAAAAAAAAGTGCGTTTTTGAATGAGGCAAGTTGTATAAAGTGCTTTGAGTGCTCGGATAGAATAGAAAAACGGCATGTAAGAACCTGTCCATTCAGCATTCTATCTGTTGTCTAAACCTCTGGGTGACTATCATCCATCTATCCAGCATATATCACTTCATTTCAATGAATCATATGAACACGACTGCTCACTGCAGTAATCTTCATGTGATTGAGGCAGATAATATATATCTGCTCGCTTCTTTTTTACAGTGGTGGAACTCTGCTGACAGTGAGCGGGACCAACCTCGCAACCATCCGAGAGCCAAAGATCAGGGCCAAGTATGGACAGGCAGAGTCCTTTCATGTGAGTACTGATGTGACTGACACAGCAGCTGCAGAGTGTTTACAGTATACATTATTCAGATATACACCTAGATACATACATTAACTGACAAATACTCTGAAACAGACCTCTCTGTGTACAACAGCACATTTCCAAAAAGCTTCTTCTATGTGCCGCTGAAGGTGGCAGACAGTTTGTCTCTGAGTGTTGCTCACGACTCCTCGTTCAGCAACTCCAGCTTCAGACATCTAACGCTACCCCGGGCCATAAAGCTTTTCAAATGTCACCTCACTGTGCAGAGTTTTACAGAAAAAAAAGAGACAGCATCAGAGGCTACGCATGCTTTATTTGAAGAGCTGAGGAATTTTGTCCCTTCTATTAACAATGTTGGCAAAGGACTTTGGTGATTGTCAATGTGAGCTGAGTCTTTGTAGTTGTCAGGGTTAAGGACTAAACCACAAACAACACTAATGCACTTCAATCTGCGGATAAAGCTGCCATTTATGGAGGAGAAACAGCCTACAGGATGCATCTCAAACAGCTCTTTATCGAAGCGCTACTTTGCACTTAAAGGACTTTTGAACAACAAATCACAGTTACATTTTTCTTACTTCCAGTCCAGGATTGGGTTGCCATTTGCAAGACTGCAGACATACGTATGATAGGCAATCCATTACAAGGAAAAAAGGCATCATTTAAACTTTGCTGTTACATTTAATAATAAAATGTGTTGCATCTAAGACCGTAGTAGCCAAGCAGTCTTATAAATTAATGCAAACACGGCCATGACATCATGTATTCATGTATTCTCCAAAGCAATGGTGTAAATACACTCTCAGGTACAAGCAAAGGCACGGAGCACATTGCCCGTTATTAACAGTTGATCATAAATTTGCAACCAATTTACATTTCCAATAGGCCTAACAGCATTGTAGTTTCACAGGGCATTGACTTTAAAAAGGATGGGTTATTATGCCCAACAGATCCATTTAAAAAGAAAATTATAGCCTGCGGGTTATTTCTAAAAGAGGCAATTCTGCCTTTTTTTACTCAGCATGTAACCACCTTGTAAATAAAACTAGAACAACATTAGTGTTTAAGTGTTTAGCAATTTAAGTGTTTGGGATTTGTCCCAATCTAGATTTGACTGTGTATGGTAGCTGCACAGCAGGACTAAAAACATTTCTCTTTCATGTCTCACTTTCAGAACTGCACAGTGTATAACAATTCAGTCATGGTGTGCCTCGCTCCGTCAGTGGCGGACTCGGAGCTTGGTTTTTCCGAGACTGGCACCGGTCCCGATGAGATTGGGTTCTACATGGACAACGTGAACGCTCTGGTGGTGGTCAACGAGACATTCAGCTACTACCCCGACCCGGTGTTTGAACCGTTGAGTCCCTCTGGGATACTGGAACTCAAACCCACATCGCCACTTATTCTCAAGGTCAGAAAGGAACACTTCTCCAGCTGGCTGTACCATTCAGCTTATTTCCTCGGTCTGCTTGATCTGAGGTTTTTGTCTAACACTGTCTAGCATTGGCACAGTACTAGCAGGCTTCGTATATACTTTTTAACTTGTCAGGGACACATACACATACACATAATGCAGCTGTGAAGATAAGAGATTCAAGTACACATTAATGTTACCTTTGGACACCTTTTACTTACCTTTAAGTGGAATGGGAATAAGGCTTTTGACACCTACACAGAATTAAAAGTTGCCGCATTTACTACTTTCTTTGGTTGGAGGTGTATAAAGAGGTGTTTTTCTTTCACTTGACTCTTTATATGAAAGACTTTCATGCAGTGCAGTGGGAAGTAGAAAGAGAACATTTATTTAGTTTTTTCCCCCCCATTGTGGAATCAACAGTTTTTATCTAGTATTGGCTGATAGGGACTAAAAGGTTTCCCCGAGCTTGTATCGATCGGTCAGGTCATGTCTGATTAAAAAAAGAATTTAATTACATTTTTGTTAGGCCATGCCTTTTTTATAACTGCTCCTACACTTGTAAGACATTCTTAATTTACCACTCAGATGTCAGAGATCAGTCATTATTAGGTTTTATTTTTCTTTCACACCTTCATAGACAATATTCCTTCTCATTTCTAAGTAATGACTACTGATTAAATAAACACGAACCCATGGTTATTAGGCTTTTTTTAAAATCAGTTTTCATTTTTCAGTTGATTATGGAGTCATATATATTGTACTAAAAGATGAAAGGAAAAGCTACATTGCAAAGATAGTATTTGTTGTTCCATGTAGAATCTGATGAAAGAAACAGTGTTGCCTTATATGACATGTTACTGTACGTTACTTTGTATGTTACTCTGGTTTGTAAGTAAGATACTGAAAATTGTTAGATGGTTGTTGTTCTAAACCAGCCATTCCCGAGGTCAAGTGGCCCACTTAAAAATCATGAAATCCCAGCCAATCTTAAATATTTACTCCAATCAAAATATAAGACAAAGTGATATGCTTCCTTGAAATTTGTATTAAAAAATCATAAACAACACGGGCTGTCAGTTATAAATTGCTAAAGCTACCCAGTCATATACAAAGTGTTAAGGCCATTGTGTGACCCACCCCATATGGAAAAGATATATATAAATCGTATAAAGTTTTTATCTGTCTTGTATGAAACTTGTATGAAAAGCATACAAGAGTGGAAACACATATAAGATCCCTTGAAAAATTATATAATGAAACTTGTATGTTTTGGATACTTACTAAAAAAAAAAAATGAAAGTAATGAGAAAGTGGCCACTTTCATGAGTAAATCATGTAAGTATTTACTATTTCTTTTCCATATGGGACCTGCCACTGGGAAACAAACTTCAGTGCAAGAACAATACATTTAAAAATAGTAATATCATAAACCAGCTACTTCCTGTTACCACTTTTAGTTTTTTTCAAACTCAAATCCTGTTATTTCTGTCCACCTTATGTACCTTTGTGGCCCACCAAACTTTGGGCATCACTGTTCTAAGCTATCACACAACTTACTTAAATATGATAATTGATTAGCTTTGATAAATATCACCATTTAGATCAAAATCCATGCAAATCTCCTTACAAGGTGACAGAGTGCAAGAGCCTCAAAATAATTAACTTCATTAAAATGACAGCATTTCAATTGGCACGTTATCGCACGTTAGCATGTTAAGAGAACAGGCTTTTAGAGCAATGATTAATCCATGTGTTTAGCAAAGTTCATGTCAACAATCACTCTGAGCCAAGGAGAAAAACTAAAATTTGTACTAAACCCTGACAGAAACTTTTAGGTATCTTTGTAAGTAGTAAGCTAACGAGCTAAAGCTAAATAGCTAACTAGGTTGTGTATGCTAAAGGTTGTGCTTTACATTAGACCAGATTAAAAAGGGCCTTTGCTTTACCCATATCTTACACTTCTGTGTTTATACTTTTGGTTTATGAAAGTCAACAAAGGACGGCACTCTCTAGGCTTGTTAAAGGTCAGCATATCTCCCAGAGGCTTGTGTGCAGGAATTTCAAAGCTTGACAGGCCTGCCATGGCTAGCTCGATTGCTTTGCTCTGATTTGACAACTGGCGTTGATGGAGGGTGTTATGAGTGACAGTTACTTTCTGTAAAGGAAGAACTCTGTAGAACACAAAAATAAACCAAAGAACTATATTTTTGTTTTTTAATTTAAACCATTCATTTCATTTTTTACCAAGGTTTTTTACTTTCATATTAACCACAAAAGTTTCAAACATACTGAACTCTTCTGTTTATAATGGCTAAACCAGCTTTGAGGGACACACATAAACACACTCTCACAAGCTGTTTTTCTTCTTACAGAAAAAAGAAAAAACTTTCAAGTGTGTTAAGGTCTTTTGGTAAAAATAATAAAAAAAAAACCCTTCACAAATTCATAATTGACAGGTGAAAGCAAATGTCCACACACACCAAGGCCAGAAACCGTCCTTCAGTAAGTAAGAGCAGCTTCACTGACTACCGTCCTCGCCCACAGCCTCGAGGTCTGTTAAATAGCAGTTCTTTCAATTTGTGTAATTAATTCTTCGGAGCTGAAAGGCCAGTATGGAAATGCACAGGCCTAGAGGTTTGGATTACATTGGTTTTCAGTTATTTATTTATTTTTTTCATTAACTGTGATTGGATATAAGTATGGGAAATTAATTGGGACTTTCTGAGTTGTGCGTATGCCTCATTGCATTATCTCACCCAGCTCACCTGAAATGTTTCGCCCGAGAGTAGCTGAAAAGGAATTAACGCGGCTGTTTCGGAGAGAATATATTTATTATATTAAAATAATCGGTGGAGAAAAAACTGAGCCGGGTTGAGACAAAAGGTGCACTCCGTCCTTTTAAATATGGGCTTTAAAGCATAAGTAAGCTCTATGGAGAGCGCACATACTGTAAAGACACAAAGCAGAATACATTTCTTTAAAGATCAGTGTCACGCCGATGTGCTGTAGCTTTGGCTCGAATGTGCCTTGACTATCTCTTATGTTATCACAGAGAGTGCGCTACGCTGTTTATTTCCATAAAGAGATTGAAAGCGGCGTACCCGCCGTAATTTATTTCTTAAATGATAATTTATTATCAGTGAGCCTCTCAGTAATTGCCAAATCTCCTGCTTGGCTTGTTGGTGAAACTGCCTACCCACTGGAAGCACTGATGAGATGGACAAAAATGCAATTTGGCGAGATGGGATGTGGGGGTAGCGTTCCTCAGATGCGTGCACTGCGCCTGTCACGCAATTAATTTCTCATCTGTAGTGTCGGGTGTGTTTTTACTGAGGTAATGTTAGTGAGACGGAGAGAGAAAGAATAAGGAGGAGAAAGAGAAATAAAAAAATAAACATTCATCTGGTCTTGGTGAGTGCTTCGATGTGTGTGCTTGTGTGATTTTTGAGAGCGTGTCCCTGCATGATGCTTCTTGCCTGTTGTGTTTATGTGTGGCAACAGCTCTGTGTGTGGCTGCAACTCCAGTGCTTGTTTGGCATGAACTCAGCCTGTATGTGGCCAGGAAGCTGTGAGCGCACGTGTGTGTGTGTGTGTTTGCGAGATGGAATGGGATGCATGTTTACAGGGTTGCAGAGCGGGGCTGGGTGGCGGCCTGCAGAGACGATGGGATTGGAAAACGGAGTCTGTCTCTGTGACCCACTGCTAAGCCAGCGGGAGACGCCACAGCTATCTCCTCTCTCACTCCTGTCCTGTGTCTGTCTGACTCGCTCGCTCTGTTTTCACGTTCGTTCCTTTTCTTTCTCATTTTCGAGCGCGCCCCTTTCATCTTTTCCTACCTCTCTCGAAATCTCTTTCTCCGCTTGTGCCTTTTCTCACCACATTTCCTATCAGCCTTGTTTTCTTTGTATTCGTCTCTCCCCCTGTATTTGTTTTTTTTTTCTTCCATGTTTTCTTGCTGTTAACGGTTCCTTCTTTTCACACCACTAACTGCCTCCTCCTTCCATCACAGGCAGAGTGTATATCAAATCGCACTAGATATTGAAATGAAAGACTGGAACGGAAATTGACAAATGTTAGAATTTACACACCTTGAGTGTGCAGACTTTGTGTTGAGTACAGGACATAAGAAAAAAAGCAATCTGTGTGGGTTTGTATGCCTCCCCAGTAATATTATTTCCTCTAGTATACATACAGTAGGGTTTGCTAAACTTATATCTCACTTATTTCCTGAGTGTTTGGCTTGAAAGTAATGTCCAAGTCCAAGAAAAACAGAATTAGAACTATCCAAAAAAAAAAAGCGCTGTATCTGGAGTATCTGTTACAAGCACCAACTGATGCTTGGAAACTGCTGCAGTAATCTGTGAGGCCTAAGATATTACTAATGATGAAAAGCCACTGTAACCCTGACCCTGGTTTTTTTGTCGTTTTTTAGGATAATCAAAGGATTTGGGAGAAAAATGACTGGTTTTATGCAGTAATGTGCAAAGTCACTAAGCCATTCCTTTATTTCTTTGCATTTCGCTTCAAAATAGGAAAAGGTGCAGTGATTTAAGGCAGTATATAAGGCAAAAACAGACTTTTACAATTTTAAGGAAATTGAAAAGTCAACATTTGGTATGAGCACCTTTATTTTTCAACACTGAACTCTGATTGGCAAACTTTCTAGTCTTCAGGATAGATCTCCAGGCTTCTTGAAGGACATCCAAAGCACTTCTTTGGATGTTGACTTCCTGTTTTTATTGTTCTCTGACAAGATGATCCCACACTTCTTCACTAATGGTGAATTCCGGGCTCTGGGGAGGCCAATCCATGACTCATAGTGTTTTCTTTTCTATCCAAGGATGCTTGTACGGCATGGCAGTGTGTGGGGGGAATGATTTCAATCCTAAAAAATGAAGCCATTGCCAATCAGACACTTTCCAGATGGCCTCCACCATGTTTTACAGATGGCTGTAGACCCTCACTGTTGTACCTCTGTCCCGATGTCTTCCATACACATTCACAATGATTTGACCCAACTACTACATAAGACCTGTCACCACTGATTTTCAGCCCAGTTCTTGTGTAATTTGATACCTTTCCATACCTCAGCCTTTTCTCTCTGTTTTCCTTCCTTAAGAACAGCCATTCTTCCATTGACACTATGTCTAACGAGGCTTCGGAAAACTGTAAACAGATCAGGTGAAGGGTTTGATGCTTGCCCTTCAGCTGATGGTCCCATGTTGATAGTCCAGTTAATGGTTTTGTGTCAGGTCTTAAGGACATGACTTTCAGATGCTGTTCATCCGTTGCAGACAGCTTTTTAGTTCTGCCACTTATTCTTTTGTCTTCCACTTGACACCTTTCTTCTAATTCTTTAAGGACACACTGAATGACATGTTGAGATATGCCACGTTTTTGGCTAATAGCTCTTTGGGAATTTGTCAGTACAAGAAATACAATTTAATGTCTGTCCGACTGTTATCTTTGGTATATTTCACAGTCTTCGTGCTTTGCAAAAAATGTGTGTGTAACATTTTTTGCTAAGTTGTCTGTTATGTGTAGACAGAACACTGTTTCTTCCTTTGACTAATAGTGACTTTTCTATGAATAATTCATAGGTAGGTCAGTGTTAAGTGTCTTAAAAATGAAAATGGTCAGATAAAAATGATTGATTGATTGAAAACAGCCAATGTCCAAAGAAAAACTTTGGGGTTGTGAGTTTTTCATAGTAACTTATGTTTATTAGATTTTTTTACCCCTTTCAATAATTGGAACAGCAATTTTAAATACTCAAAAGTCCCATATTAGCACAGCGTTGGGGTTTACTTGTCACTGATGATGAAGCTTCAAAAGGCTTCACATTGTCTGATGACAAAAACAACTATTTGATGATTTAATGATTCAAATTCCATGAAACTCCCTCAGTCCACAGTTGATTTGTATTGTGAAATTAGAGGCGCCTATTTGACAGAAAATCAAATAGAAATAAAAGCCGAAATATCAACAACCTAACCCTTTATATGTCCCTTGGTAAAATGTTCCTTTACAGCGACAAAAGAAACAGCTTCACACGTTTGCTTGATTTCAAGTAATAACGTCAAGAAATCGCAGGACCTAGCTGTCGTTGAAGATGAATGTTTTTTATGACATTGTAAATATTTGACCTTGTATAAGCGTCATGTTGTCAATGGCATTTGTTAGGTGAAGAGTATGGAGAACCACCAGTTTTATCCTTTAAGGGATATTAAATTAGCAAATTTATTGTCACTGACTTTCTTGTCAGTTATGCAGAAACTGGAAGTGATTTTCATCAAAGATGTGAAAATCATATCATTAGCAGAAAAATGTTCTGAACAAGTTCATTGTGAGCCGTCAAGAAAGGGTGGATAAATAAAAGTAATGTAAAAAGAAAAGCTCATGGTTACATTTTTCTCACGTTGGAGTTCAATGAAAGAAAGAAATCATATTGTCGGGCCTGCAAGTAAAGCGTCCTGACGATGAGCCGAGTGCCTGTCCTCATTACTTTTCTCCCTGTGTGTGTTTTTTAGGGCCGTAACCTGATCCCAGCGGCTCCGGGCAACAGTCGCCTGAACTATACGGTGCTGATTGGAGAGACTCCCTGCATCCTCACCCTGTCTGAGAGCCAGCTGCTCTGCGAATGGCCCAACCTCACTGGACAGCACAAAGTCACGGTCAGATCACAGCTCCTGCCTCTTCATCTCTGTCCCCGCCAGGCACGATGACCTGACGCGACTTTGGTTTACTAAATTGCTTGACTTTTCTGTCCTGCATTATCAGCGCCATCGAAGGGGGGTGGTATATAAAAAGGGAAGTTGCTCAATATTATGGGCTGGGACCTTCATGGTAGACTTCTTTCCTAATATAATTACTGGGCCAGCTTTTGGTGTTGCAGGATTCTTTGACAAGAAGCAATTTATTTTTTTTAAAAAAGGCCAGAAAATTTAACAAGCTGTTCCTGGTGTGTCCACGCTGACCCAGTAATTCCTGTTGATGAATATGGAAATATTCTGGTCTGACAATCTCAGCCTGTAATGTCACTCTAACCTTGTTGTTGAGTTGTGTGAATAGCCCCTCGTGTCTTTTCTAAACAGTTTCCTCTGACAGATCCAGGATGTGCTCCAGTGAGCTTGCACAACAAGGCTGCTGTTAAATATGTTACGCTTAATTAACATGTTGATCTTTATTGGCCTTCATATCAGCTACACTGTTGATGGAAACAAAAAAAAAAGGTGGTGGAAGTTTACTCTTTTTGTTTTTTAACCCCCCAAGAACCAGAACAGTGATAATCTAAAGCGTCGACCGGCACGCTTTCAGCCACCGCAGTGCTTTTATTCTTGAGTCAGATCCATTAAGTAGTGCTGCTCACAGGGAAGTCGTTCACTTGTTCACATAATGCACTCAACACAACCACGTTGAACCTTTAGACGTGTCTGCAGACGCAAAGCCGTGTTTCTTTCTCTCCGCCGAAGCGTATCCACATCAACAGCTGTGCAAGCATCAGCACTTCTCCGCTGCAGGCGCTGCTGGTTTTAGATTTGAGAGTCCCTCTGTGCCCTTTTTTCCATTTTTCATGTATTTTTTTTATTAGCTTCACTTTACTGTGATGGCATAGACATTTAATAGTACACGGAATATAATGTACCTAACCCGCAGTAAATCCACAGCCAGCCAGTCCTCCGCCTACACTCATCTCTAATCAAAGCAACACTCATCTTTCCTGCGCCATACTCCTCATATCTTCGTGGATCCACACTTAGGTGAACAGAGAGCACCGACTCTGTCACAGGTCTGTTTTTTCAACAGCAGACACTTTGGCCTTTAGCCTTTTACAATGAAGGTTCTCAGTCTATCAGTTGTTTAGTCTCAAAAAACTCCATTAACACTTGAAAAAACTCTGTGATTTCCCAAAGCCAACAAAAAAAGTCTTTATGTTTTTTTTTATCCAAACATGATAATAACAATTGTCCCAGATCCAAACATGCTAATCAGATTGCCAGGATTATTGTCTACCTGTTGGCTAACTGAATAGTCATCACTGCACTGAAAAAGACTTGAAGTTAATTTCATAGTTTGCTGATTGACAGGTACTGTTAAAACTGCCTTTAAGCAACACTCATCAGCACGGTGTCAGCTTCAGTCATCTTTCTCACTTGAGTTTGCAGGCCTTGCTCAGGAGCTGTGAAAGCTTCACACTTTTTATGTAAAGGAAATTACTAATGCTAAAGTCACACTAGGAAAAACAGTCGCTGGAGATTGCAGCACGATCAAAATTACTGCGACTGTGTGCAATGAAACTGCAGTATCGTTGGCTTCGAAGTAGGGCTGCCACAAACGATTATTTTGATAGTCGACTAGTCACCGATTATTTTTGCGATTAGTCGACTAATCAGATCATGCCTCCATTGGACGTAAAACGTACAGCTTACTGCACAAGCATGCATCTCCTCTTATATAACTATCATTAGCTTACAGCTTTAAGTGTTTAAGGTATGTGCTAACTAAAAATAAAGACAAGATGATAGTTTATTAAATTTTAATGAAATTTGCAGATTGTTTCGGTGAAGTTTAATAAACTCCTTGCTATCTAAAATATACCGGGACACCGGAGTATATTCTCCAGCATCTCACACTTCTGATAATCAGTTGTCTGCTTGACATTTATTCAGATGTGTAAAAACTATAACTTTAATCTCAACCAAACCGATTTACTCAGGAACAAATAAAATACTAAAAAAAAAGCCTAACAATAACATTTTTAAGTTATCTAAGTGACTTATATATCATGTTTAACCTGAGTAGCGAAAGACTGCGGTGGGTTTGAAAACGATTTGCGGGAGTCCGGTGTTCTCACGGGCTCTAGTGAGCCTTGCCCCCGGCTAGCTATCGAGCTAGTGGGTAACAGACGTCTCCAAAAACATCAGAGCGCTTCTGAAAATATGTGGTGTCTTGATAAACTGAGCAGATATTTGAGCTTTATACAGTTACATTCTCACCTGAAAATATGTTAAACGTTTATTTTGTGACCCAGAAAGAATAATAAGAGTAATATTAAAACTAACTAGCTGCCGCCATTGTTGGAAACTGAGCAGGGCTGTGCTATGAATTCTGGGACACAGCTTCTTCTTCTTCAGGGTTTAACGGCAGCTGGCATCCTTGTACATGCAGTGCTGCCATCTTCTGTTTCAGTCCGTTATTACACTCTTAAATCCTACTACTTATTCCTGCGTCTTTTGTGATCTTACAAAGCTTCAAACGACGCGTCGACTATTAAATCAGTCGTCGACGATTTTGATAGTCGACGTAATCGTGACTAGTCGACTAATCGTGTCAGCCCTACTTCGAAGCGACTGTTTCAAAGACAAGGATCAGGTCTGCGACAATGCGCAGTCAATTGCAATTTTCAAATCAGCTTTGGTGCGTCAAGACAATGATAAAACAGCAGTAAGATGAAGTCAGTTTACAATCACTTTGCAATTTATTGCGGTCAAGTTGCAATCAGTTGCAAATCTGTTGCCAACTACAAAGCTTTTAAGTCAGTCCCCTATTGCAAAGAGATGCATCACAGATGAGTTGCCAACACGTTGGCAACCTTTCTGGTGATTGCAGGCACTCAGAGTCAGACTGGAAATGTTTGAAGAGAGGTTACCCTAAACCAGGCAATCTGTGCAATCACCTGTCATCCAAAAGTGGCTGCCCATCGGTTGCAACGGCTTGCAATCAGTTACCAAATGAGTATCCAAGAAGTCATGCTATGAAATATACACGACTGCAGATGGAAATAACAATCGTCCTTTAGTCAGCTCTTCATTGTTCATACTGACACTTCTTCAGCTGTTTCGGTTAGAGCCAGTTTTTACTGCTCTTTCAAGAAGCTAGCACACATTGTTGTACAAAGTAGTTTGGCGACTTCCTACATGGACTTGCCTTCATTTGTCTGAAATTTATTTATTTATTTTAATAAAGTCTGATGCTCCAGACACATTAAGTTGTCCAAATGCATTGCTTCTTTAATCAGCAGAGCAGTTTTCAGCTGTGTCACCATAATTGAAAAAAATGGTTTTTGAATGCCCAATTAGCTTTTTAGGATGATAAACTCACATTAGATAGCACAGCGCTCCATTAAAACACACGACTGATGACTGCTGATGGACCTCTGTATGTCTATATAGGTATTTTGTGAGTTGCTCGCTGTCTTGGTCAGGTAACCGTCAGTTTGTCATCCTGCTCTGCTGAACAGCCGAGAGGACTCCTGTTGTCTGAGCATCTGGTATTAGGAGAGTTTTTTTGTGTGACTAGAGGATGCAACAAAAAAACTAAACTAGAAGTGAAATATTAGGTAAGTTATGCAAGTTTGCTACAGTTTATATCCATGACAAGGCTCAGCCTCAGAGCCATGCCGAAAACATAAAAAGTAGTATTAAGAATAGAATTGTTTATCCAGGATGCTGCTGATATGAAGACATTAAGCTTGTCTCTAAGCTCTAATCCAGGAACCTCGTTTGTGTATAAACCTTTCTGATGTGCAAATTTTGGTGCAACAGGAAATCCAAGCAAAAGCAGCTTGTTTTTAAAAGTCACGGTCACGTCTCAAGCCGCAACTGTTTTTTTCTTCTCCACCAACAGCCGTGGTGTGAGTGCTGCTGATGTCACTTTCATTTCGAGTGTTTCGTATTTGCAGAAATAATGATACAGCAGAAAAGCAAGTGTCGGGAAAACTCTGAGAACGCGCCTCCAAGCGCGTCCTGCGGCAGTCATTGGCTTTACTTGTCCAAAGCGTTGAGCTGTCAGCAGACTCCAGACTGAAAGTCCTGATTCACTCTGACTGGAGCAGACTTTCAGAATCACAGCGCAGCTCCCGGAGCATCTGTGTGGAAGAAGGTCAAACGTCAACCAGGCGACGCAGCACTCACTGCGAATATATTTGGATGTTTGTCTGAATATCCCGACAGCGCACCCACTCAGAAGCCCTCCCCTCCTTCCACCCCTTTTTTAAACTTATCACCAATGTCCTTTCACAGTCATTTCACTATATCTTTATGACATTTACTCCCTGCTAGCTACAACCAATATACCTAGAAAGCCACTGACAGCACATCCATGTAATTCAATATGATAGCTCTCAATGGAACCAGCCAGCTCCAAGGTGGATCTCGCTTGGATTTTTCTTTTTCTTTTTTTATCCCTCCTTTTCTCTTTTTTGAACGAAATGTCATGTTGAATCTCGGAGCAATGCGACGTGTTGGCGGGGGTGGTGGAGTTAGTCCTTCGTCTGACAATAGCCGAAGAAAAAATAGAGCTGTCCGTTCCTATCTCTTCTCCCATGCACGCACGCACGTGTGTGTGTGTGAGTGACTACAGTGAGTGGCTTGTTTTTGGTGTGTTTATGTGCGCATCAACCCTTTTCCCCCCTTGTTGTTCTTGTGCGTGCCGCGCAGTGGAATGCTGCAGAGAAGGACACAGCTGTGGCACAATAATGTTCCCCATGTAGAATGACCTACATACAGAGGAACCCAGTGGGTGTCCAGACTTACCGGGCTTGTTGTGTGTTGTCGTGTGCGCGAGTGGGCATACTGTAAGGAAAGTCGTCCACGTTCGTCAGTGTGTCTTTGTGTGTCCCCTCAGATGCTCAGCTGTGTGTTGGCAGCTGTGTGCCTCCCTTGAGTTTTCGAAGAAACTTGTTTGTTGTTTTGGCCTTCAGCTTTCTAAGTTCCTCCCCCAGTCCTTCAGTCTGACAGGAGAATAAAAATAGACAAATGCCTCGCAAATGTGTCACCACCTTAATATTGCTTAAACTGATGCCACATTTGTGTCGTCTGAGGATACGCTCCCTCCTGGTTCATTCTTTTATACATACAAATGACCTCAGATTAGATAACACCAGCTGACGATTGGAAGGGTAACAGAGCAGCCGTTTCTTATGTATTTTTCATGCGTTTTGGATTCAAAGCATGATGTAAAATATATGAGCACATATTTCAGATTAGCTGTCATAGATTCTAAAAAGTCCTTGAAGTGGTGACACACGCACAGAATACTGGCATTCAATGCCGTTTTCCCAAAATAAACATGTGAAGAGTCATTAATATTTAAATTAAGTGTCCTGGAGGATTCAGTTTTACGTTAAGTCGCTGCATAAAATAACAGTTTCAAAGAGTTATGGGAATTTGTTATTGTGGTTAGAGGCCTTCTTCACAGCTGACGTTTGGACTTGTCATACTTGGGAAGCTGGCAATCGGATGCAGGGCTAACACATAGAAACAGACACCAACTAACCTATCCCCACTAACTGCATGTCTTTGGACTGTGAAAGGAAACCAGAGTAGCTGGACAGAACCCACGTAAACACAGGGAGAACATGCAAACTCCATGCAGAGTTGTGAAATTAGAAAAGAAAGGAAAACAGGCTTTGTTTTTGCTCAAGAGCAAGGCAGAACCCTGCTCCTATAGCTAATCACAAACACACAGCATTGGCTGTATGGATTACAGCTTTTACAGTTTTGCTACAGTTTACTTGCACTACCGTGTTGTGAAGTTACGGTTACAACTGCTGCTCTGACAGTCTAACTCCGGGGTAGTTAAAAATCCCATCTGTGCAGTCGGGGTTGAGTCCAACATTGAGAGTTCAAATCCTAATGTGAGGGGGCGTTCCAGTTGAAAATATTGAGCGGCAACACAAAAATTCCAACTTCCAATTTCAAATAACTGTAGAATTACAGCTTTTACCCATAACATTATGTTGACTTCATTTTGTCCAAGTACCCAAGTAAACTATTAGTTTTGCTCAGTTTTAGTAAGTATGATTACTCCCCCTTAGCTGGGCTCAAGTTAATAATATAGCAATTAACTGTGATAAATCGATGAAAATACATACATACATAGAAGTAGACATTAAAGAGAAATTCTCATTAACTGCTTATGTTCAGATTCCAGCCAGAACCTCACATGTTGGCAATCTGTGTTTATTGAGACGACAAATATTTGCATACCTTCACCAATTGGTCTAAGAGTGATTGCGGTCAGATTGCAGTTGAGAGTGTTGCATGCTCAGTTTCGGGATCAACACTTGGTCGCTGCGACTACTTGCAGATGTTCACTGACTAGCCACAAGGAGGTTTGTTTACTCTAGTGCTACTGACCCATAAATGCAGTGTTTTAAGCTCTAGCTTTATCACTTTTGATTATGTGGAACACAACTTTAAACTGCTGACTTAAAATACACAAAAAGCAAAATCGCCCCATTGCTACCTAATCGACTTGCATACAGCTGCAAAGAAAATAGGGCCTTATTGTTAGCCTTAGGTGCTGTATAGTCATACCTGTCTTTACAGGTGATAATTTCCAACCATTAAATGCTAAAGTTTATTTATTTATTTATTTTAATCTCACAGCCATGGTAATTGACCGCTAATGGCTAGTAGCGACATGTGAAAACATTGCTATTGCGCAATAAAAATTACATTCACACTCTCCATAGTGCGAGTTTGCTGTGTCCACCAGCTGGTTGCCAATTTAGCTGTCTGCTGTTTGGTGCTGGGCAGGTACATTAGAACTTGGCCACAGAAAAATGAATCCCCATCGTGCAGGAAAGCAGTTATGAGAGCTGCAGGAATCAAAATGTTAAAGAGAATTGGAAACAAGACAATAAATGCTCCATTGAACCAAAAAGGGAATAAATGCACATATGCACTATTAATTGTCTGTGTGTTCATTACTTTGACTAACTCCTGTCACACTGTGGAGCACATTGTTATTATCAAAAAAATTAATTCAGCATTTTTAAATATGTTTAAACTCCTCTCTCTCCCAGGTAACTAATCCCGACTCCTGCTTAAGTTAATTTAGCTCAGTCTCCTTTGCAAACCGATCGTGTCCACACAACTAATTGGGCCACATAATCTTACACAAAGCCAGTCTAATTGTCTTTACTACTGCACATTTAATTTGTGGGTATTGACTATGCTGCTATTGATACAACAGCTTCTCTATTTTATTTTTTTTAATCACACTTTGATAATGTTAACATGAAAGTGCACTTACAAGAACTTCAAAGTGCATAATCGCACCTCATTTGAATCAGTTATCAACCCCCCTGGTGGATTGCTTGATTTGATGGATTCCAGTCCTGTGTGTGTATATGTATTTTTTTTTCCAATGAGACACACTGTGCTTATGTAAATGTAGTTAGTCATAAAAGAAAAAGAAATGTTTGACTTCCCATAATTACCATGGTTCCTTGGGGAGGGATTTAAATGCTGGTGATTACTTTGTTTGATTACTTATACTGTGTGTGCGCGTACGCATGCAGTATATAAGTGTGTGGGCCCTGGAAGTGTGTTACAGTTGTTTTATGAGTGGATGTGTGTGACTTTGACACTGTCTGCATCGACCTCTACCGCGCTGCTTTAAAAGTCTCGGTGTATATGTGCTCTAACCCCTATCAGCTTATTAAAGTTGATGGTGATAAACGAGGACATAAACAACAAAATATCTAACCCAAACATCGAGTCTGCGGATAACGCCGCATTAAAGCAAAGGAGCGAACTAACTTGTGAGATCTTCATTATCAAAGCCCTCTGAATCTTCTCCCCTAAAGGCAAGAATCGAAAACCTTTCCTACACGAAATGTTCAGAGCAGCGATGGTGATGTAAGCCTCCACAGTAAAAGCCTGTCAGAGATCTGACTGTTTAGTCCGAGTACAGAACGGATCAAACTTTAATGATCGTTGTTGAAGAAATTGGGTCAAGCAGCTTCTCTTTCATCAGACCAGCAACTTTTGATCTCTTCAGACCACCTCGTCTATTCTCAAGCCATCTGCTGCTGCAGAAATGACCGCCGGTTGTTTTCTCTCTTTCTCGCTCTCTGCGCTGAGGTGCTACGTGCAAATCCCCAGACTGTGTAGGGGAAAGCAAGTAAGTAGGAATTTCTCAGCTCTTAACAACTGCCTTGGCTCTACCTTTGAGCAATGCGCTAAACACTCGCCTCCAACAGTGCAGCTATTTGGTGGCCGCCAGAAGAACACAGGTTTTACCGAGCAGCTCTCTTGTGAACAAGCATCAATGTGTGGGAGGGAGTTGGGGGCATGGTGATGATTTCTGTTTCTTTCTCTGACCACTTATCACTTGTGTGTGTTCAGATCCGTGCGGGTGGGTTTGAGTACTCTCCCGGGACGCTTCACATCTACTCTGACAGCCTGCTAACGCTTCCCGCCATCATCGGCATCGGAGGGGGTGGCGGCTTGCTGCTGCTGGTCATCATTGCCGTGCTGATAGCCTATAAGAGGAAGTCGAGGGACGCTGACCGCACCCTGAAACGTCTACAGCTTCAAATGGACAACCTGGAGTCCAGAGTGGCCCTGGAGTGTAAAGAAGGTAGGCTGTAGAAGCAGTGTGGATCCAGCTTTTACCCTTGCACTATTGGAAAGTAACAAGACCAAAAAAAAAAGAAAAAAGATGGGGATCTTTCAGCAGAAATAGGATAAAATATTAAATAATCCACTACAGTTAAAAAGGTTTTTAAACTCCAATTTGAATAGAAATCAAATTTTATTACGGTAACTCAATGTGTTTCATCATTTTCAGAATGATAAATGAGTAGTATGATATTTTAGTTATATACAGCTTGCATTTATCTAAAGTGTATCTAATGAAACCTGCCTACATGCTCTCTAAACTTCACAAACAAACATTTCCTACCTTGTTTGTTCAGTAGCTCGAAGCTGTAGTGCACAGATGAGATGTTTAATGGGGGTTTAATTTTCTTGCGTGACTACCATGGCTCGCTGGTTTCTCCGTTGGTTGCCTGGAAACTATACAGTGATCATAAAACAGGCAAAGTATACTGGTTAATGTTTTATATGTTACTAGTACTACTATTTAAAGCTAATTTCCTGCTTGTGTATTAGCATGTACAGTGTTTCCCAAACTGCATTTGGGTGAACTGTCCAGTGGTATTAGCAGCTGTCAGAAGTATATTTATTGGTTTATTTTAGCTACTTACTTGTTATTATCAATATGTGAGGAAGATGACATCTATGGTCAATCAATGCTCCCTGCTTTCTTAGCTCTTAACTTAGACTCTCTTGTGTCTCCCCTACTGGTTGGATTGCTGGTCAGATTGCTGTTGTGGAGGATTTTATTCACCTACTTACCCAGAGAAGAGTTCATTCCACGGTGTCACATACTCTAATTTCAGCACCTTGGTTGCAGCTAGCTATGCTAGTCCCTTTGTTGCTCTGGATCTAGAGCTGAATACTGAGCTGAAGCAGTATTCTTCCCATATCCTGGAGCAGATGGAGAACTCCAAACTCCCTTTGACTGAAGCGTAGAACAAGGACTATCGTGGGCAGTCTAAAAAGATATTATTGAAGTTAATCTTCAAGCTGTGAGACTCGCTGGAGGTGAAGCTGCAGTTTGATTATTTGTATTTGCAGAGAATTATTACTGCAGAAAATTATCACATTTGCACAATATCTCTAAAACTAGAAACAGTAGCGGTTTTTGATACAGGCGACACGGGCGGTTGCCCGGGGCGGCATCACGGGCATCGGCAAAAAATAAATAAATTGCTCGTACTCATGCTGCCCCGACAAGTAGACAAGTTAACAAACAATAAATATAAGAAGAGTAAGAAAATAAATGTACACTTTAGGACCAGGGGTAAAGAGATCAATAACAATTTAAATTTATAATTTACAGTTTGATGATTTAAAGTCTCACACGCAACCTGTCGAAAGGGGAGGGGGGTCGGCTGCTTCCAAATAGAGCGCATTTCATTCATAAAACAGGCTAGGACCGCCACTGACTAGAAACATCCTGTCTCAGAGTAAAGCTATAAATAATAAGAATTATTGAAAATTCTTTATTTATCACTTCTAGGCTGGAATGTTGTAATTCATTATTATCAGGCTATCTTAAATACTCCCTGAAAAGCCTTCAGTTGAATCAAAATGCTGCAGCGAGAGTACAGATGGGGACTAGAAAGAGAGAGCATATTTCTCCCATGTTGGCTTCTCTTCATTGGCTCCCTGTTAAATCCAGAACTGAATTTACAATCCTGCTCCTCATGTACAAGGTTTTGAATAATCAGGCCCCATCTTATCTTATTGACCTCATATTACCATATTACCCCAGTAGAGCACTTTGCTCTCAGATCACTGGCTTACTTGTGGGTCCTACAATATTTAAAAGTAGAATGGGAGGCAGAGCTTCAGCTTTGAGCCTGAATTTGAAGGAGAGAGACACCCTCTCTACTTTTAAGATTAGGCTTAAAACTTTTCTTTTTGATGAAGCTTGAATTAAATTATGTAAACCCCTAAACACTGCCACAAAAAGAAACTAAATCAATGGGAGGCGAGGGAGGAGTGATTTAGATTTTTTGTCTCCATATTTCTTCCAAGTATATAATAACCCGTTCATCTGGTTAAAGTAGATGGTCGTCACAGACTAGATAAATTACACATTTGCCACTCAAAGCACTTTAGACTTTCTTAATCTATTTGCACCTGCTCATTGCCTGAGTAAACTTGTTTCAAAGGTCAGCAACTGGCAATGACATTGATCACAGTGTGGGAGTCTGCTGAGCTGAGTGAGTATACAACAACGCTTCCTGAAAATGGCTTTGAAGTTTAATAATAGGAAATGTGCATGCTGAGCAGTGTTAAAGGATATTTCTGCCAGGGTCAAAGCAAGATTGTTATTTTATCTGTAGTCATTTATATTTGGTGGTATGACGGTGTTCTGGGAGAGATGAAATATGCCAATAGGAAGCACAGAAGGGCAACAGAAAATGATGATGTAATGTTCAGTATTTTACAGAACAATTAAGCAGAAGCAAATCGTGCTGTATGGATAGCACGAGGTGTTCGGCTCTACTGATACTCAAAGGTGAAACTGTAAACAGCACACAGATGCCTGTCAATTATAGGGAAACCACTGTAAAGCATCTCAGCAAGACGTTGTTCCACCACAAGCCTCACAGCACAGCTCCAGTGCTTCTCGGCATGGATTGGCATCTGGGCACTGGAGGAATGGACACCTGTTTTGATAATGATGGTGGTGGAGAGCACAGTCTAACGTGTCAGTCATCTGTCCGTACCTCCGAGTGAAAACACAACTCAACAGCAAGACTGTCAGAAAGACGGAGAGCACACACACGGCTGGAAAGTAGATAGTGTGAGAGGCCTATCTGAGGTCAAGCTAACAAGGGGATTATTTGCAGAGGAGTGAGAAAATATTGTGAGTGAGAAACCGACACAAAGAAACTGGGTTAAAAGAGCGAGAGTCAGCAGCAGAGTGTGGATGACTGATGTGTGGACAATCCAGGTGTTTACACTCAATATAATAACACGGGCACACGCAGCCACGCTACAGAGTAATGATACGATTACACTGCGGTCATGACACAAAGTCGCAACACCTGCCAGGGAGCAGCTGTCAAACAAAACTACACGAGTGTTGTTTTTCAAAGTGCAACATTCTCAGGCCGATCGTTGCACGCGCAATCCTGACTGTGGTGACATTTCCAGGTACGTGTTTCTTCCTTGTCGCGTCGCCTCAGTTTAAGATGTTGTCATTTGTGTTTTTCACGAAACACGACTGGAGAAAGTTCCGCTATTTACAACAGTAGGCCGACAGGCGAGCGTTGAAGTCAACGGGAAGTCAACAGCGCTTGGTTTTCCTAGGAAGTGAAGCATGGCCTCGTTCCCACCCACCCTGAAAGCACCCCGCCCCGCCTGCTGCACTCCCAGCTGGCCTATAGAGGCAAGACAGCGCACATGGGCGGAGGAGCAGATGAAGTGGGCGGTCGACTATCCCTGTGATTGCAAAAGGAAGTGTGTATGTGTGAGGCAGGGTTCTAACAGTCTTTGGGGGGGGGACAGGACGTTTTGGATCAGTCATCTGTAAGAGGTGGATATCACACTGTACACAGCTATAGTGTACTGTATTAGCCATCATGCATACACACATTACAAACCCAACTGCTGACCGGGAAGCATCACTTCTATGGGTTAAAAGACCTGTTAAAGCATCCCGTGTAAAGTATATAGGCAAGAAAATGCAAATGAACTTTCAAACCAATTCATGGTAAGGCATTGTTTACATGCTCCTTTGAGCACACTCAATGCTGTGGCATTTTTACACTTCACTTCCCAGACTTTGTGTTGACTGGGATCTTTTGTGTGTGTTTCTGTGTGTGTGTGTTTACTTATCAGAAACACATGAGCATTTTCCCAGGAAAGACATAGACAGACAGTCCTAACTGAAAGCTTTATCAAAAAGGAACGTTTTAAGCCTAATGTTAAAAGTAGAGAGGGTGTTTGTCTCTTGAAGTCAAACTGGGAGCTGGTCCACAGAAGAGGGGCATGAAAGCTGAAGGCTGAACCTCCCATTCTACTTTTAAATACGCTAGAAACCACAAGTAAGTCTGAGAGCAAAGTGCTCTGCTTGAGTGATACGACTGCTATGAGTGTTACTATAAGATTCAATTTTCAATTCAATTCAATTCAATTCAATTTTATTTATATAGCGCCAAATCACAACATAAGTCGCCTCAAGGCGCTTCATAGATACAGAGAAAAAAACCCAACAATCATATGACCCCCTATGAGCAAGCACTTTGGCAACAGTGGGAAGGAAAAACTCCCTTTTAACAGGAAGAAACCTCCGGCAGAACCAGGCTCAGGGAGGGGCGGCCATCTGCTGCGACCGGTTGGGGTGAGAGAAGGAAGACAGGATAAAAGACATGCTGTGGAAGAGAGACAGAGGTTAATAACAGATATGATTTAATGCAGAGAGGTCTGTTAATACATAGTGAGTGAGAAAGGTGACTGGAAAGGAAAAACTCAATGCATCATGGGAATCCCCCGGCAGCCTATGTCTATTGCAGCATAACTAAGGGAGGATTCAGGGTCACCTGGTCCAGCCCTAACTATATGCTTTAGCAAAAAGGAAAGTTTTAAGCCTAATCTTAAAAGTAGAGATAGTGTCTGTCTCCCGAATCCAAACTGGAAGCTGATTCCACAGAAGAGGGGCCTGAAAACTGAAGGCTCTGCCTCCCATTCTGCCTCCCATAAAATGGGGCCTGATTATTTAAGACATCCTATATGAGGAGGGGGTTAAATTTATTCTAACAGGGACCATATGAAAAGAAGCTAAGATAGGAGAAATATGTTGTGTCTGTCTAGTCCCTGTCAGTAATCTTGCAACAGCATTTTGAGCATTTCTGAAGGGAGTTTTTAGGACAACCTGATAATAACGGATTACAATAATTACTGTAATTATAATTACAGAGTGTTTGTTTCTGAAATCCAAACTGGAAGCTGGTTCCACAGAAGAGGGGCCTGAAAGCTGAAGGCTCTGCCTCCCATTCT